CATTTCAGAAGGGTCTCCCATCCCTGGCATCTGAGCCTGCCACTTCTTCAAGGTGTGGTGGGCTCCAGGGGCCTTCAACTCCCTGCCCGGGGCGACCTCTATTAGAAGCTAAAGGACTTCAGTTTTAAGATCGAGTGGGTTGGAGGAGGGGTCAAGGCACCTGAGGCCGTCTTCCAAATATGGACCTCTGGTGAGAAGCCGCTTGGTCTCACCACCGCTTTCAAGAAAGGGCTCTTGGAGACACGATGGACATCTGGGTGCCTGCCATTTTAGTGGAGCGTGGGATCTCACGGCCCTCACTTCTCCTGGGTTTTGGAGAGAAGAGGCCAATGGCAAGATAACAGAAATTTGAACTGGGCCACCCCAGAGAAGAGAGACCACAGGGACAAGGCAATGCTTCTTTACTACCCCCTCTTATTGGTATTATTATTATTATTATTATTATTATTATTAGTAGTAGTAGTAGTAGTAGTAGTAGTAGTAGTAGTAGTAGTAGTAGTACTCCTCTATTGCTTTGCATGTATACTGAGAGTTTCTGCACCGGAGACAAATTCCTTGTGTGTTTAATCCCACTTGGCCAAATGAACTGTTCTGTTCTACTCCGTTCCATTCCATTCTTCTCCTCTCCTCTCCTCTCTCTTCCCTTCCCTTCCCTTCCCTTCCCTCTTCTTTCCTTTCTTCTCTTCTATTCTCTTCCCTCCTCTCCTCTCCCCTCTCTTCCCTTCCCTCCCCTCCTCTCTTCTCTTCTCCTCTCCTCTCTCTTCCCTTCCTTTCCCTTCTCTCTTCTCTTCTCCTTTCTTCTATTCCCTTCCCTTCCCTCCCCTCCCCTCCTCTCTTCCCTTCTCCTCTCCTCTCTCTTCCCCTTCCCCTTCTCTCTTCTCTTCTCCTTCCTTTTATTCTCTTCGCTCCTCTCCTCTCCCCTCTTCCCTTCCCTCCCCTCCTCTCCTCTCTTCTCCTCTCCTCTCTCTTCCCCTTCCCCTTCTCTTCTCTTCTCCTTTCTTCTATTCTCTTCCCTCCTCTCCTCTCCCCTCTCTTCCCTTCCCTTCCCTCCTCTCTTCCCTTCTCCTCTCCTCTCCTCTCTCTTCCCCTTCCCCTTCTCTCTTCTCTTCTCTTCCCTCCTCTCCTCTCTCCTCTCTTCCCTTCTCCTCTCCTCTCTCTTCCCCTTCCCCTTCTCTCTTCCCTCCTCTCCTCTCTCCTCTCTTCCCTTCTCCTCTCCTCTCTCTTCCCCTTCCCCTTCTCTCTTCTCTTCTCCTTTCTTCTCTTCTCTTCCCTCCTCTCCCTTCCTCCCCTCCCCTCCTCTCTTCCCTTCTCTCCTCTCCTCTCCTTTCCTCTCTTCCCTTCCCTTCTCTCCTTTCTTCTCTATTCTCTTCCCTCCCCTCTTTTCCCTCCCCTCCTCTCCTTCCTCCCTTCCCTTCCCTTCCCTTCCCTTCCCCTCTCCTCCTCTTCTCTTCCCTCCCCTCCCCTCCTCTCTCTTCCCTCCTCTCCTCTCCTCCCCTCCCCTTCCTTTCCCTTCCCTTCTATTCCCTTCCATTGAAGAGGAAACACCTGAGCAGGAACATTTATTTATTCCACCTTGTCTCCCTCTTATTGACTCTCCCTGCCCCCATACTGACACTTAACCCCAGTGCCGGCAGCGACCCACACAGATTTTGACATAAGCTTTTGCAGCAGGATATCAATGTCACACAATAACGAAGAGAAGGCAAAGCGTGATTGACAAGAAGGAAGACAGATAAGAAACAACATTGTTGAGGGTTGCAGGAAATCACACACACACACACACACACACACACACACACATCCCAATTTGGGCAATGATGTTCTCAAGGAGCAAATTCAAAGCTCTACAAATTCATTGCAATTCGCCTGATTTGCACAATTACCCACAAAACAACAACAACAACACCCCGCAGTTTTAAAAACTACACGATGTTAACAGCAGAATGTAAATAACGTTCGAAGACAACTTCATGGAAAATCGTGGTGGATCTGACAGAAGCTTCTGACCTGGCTGTGGCTGATTCATGATTATGATTAAAACATTTTTTTTAATTCATTTATAATATAAAATAAAAAATGCTAAAAGGAAATAGTAGAAAAAGATAGGGGAGGAAAGGCCTTAACTTCTGACTCTCCTTGGTGCAGAATAAGATAATGACGTCAAACCTCAACTTTTTACTTTTCCATAATAGTATAAACTAGCCACTTCTTTCACAACAAACCTATCTAGTCGGTAAAACCCCAAATCAAAATTTCATTTCTTTTCCCCACCTCAAGCACAAAGTCCAGAAGTGGTTTCCAAGTAGCTACGAAAAGTGATTGTGTTCTGTTTTTTAATCAAAGCAGTCAGTTTAGCCCTCTCTGCTAACTCCCATCCATTTTTGCAGCCCTTCGTCCACGGTGGGGATCAAAGGATCCTTCCGTTTTTGTGCATAAAGTAATCGATTAAAACTTTTTTTTAAAAAAAACAAAACACTCCACTAAAGATCCTTAGGGAAAAAAGAAAAGGCACTATTTTAAAAACAGGTTTAGGAAGAAGCTTAAGGACGGCACGCTCTTTATTAGCCGGACCAATTTTATTTACGTCGTATTTATTTATTTTTTCCCTCCTTCTGATAATGTTTAGGAACTCAGCCTTACCTGTCCACGTAGAAAGGGAAGCAGAACCGGGCCACCGTGGGCAGAATTTCCTGCGGGGAGAAGAGAAGGGAAGAGGGGGGGGGAGGAGGAGAAGAAGAGAGATAATTTAATCATCTAAAGGGACCAATAAATCTAATGTTAACCACGGGAAAGACCCACGGAAACCGGAGACAGATGAAGAGAAATATGCTTTATCAATTACACACCAGAAGAGCCCGCCAGTCAATCACGGGAAAGAACAAACATGATCAAACTTCATTAAAAATGAAAAATTAATCAAGATTCACACATGGGCAAGCAGCAGGAGCCCCCCGCGGCGGCCCTGGGAAGGAGGGGGCGACGGGGATGGCCTCGTGCTAACTCGCCTCCGGGGAGGCTCTCCGACCCCGCCAGATGGAGAACAGCGAGGCCACCAGGACCAACCAGCTGGATCTTTGGCCTGATCCTTCTCCCCCTCCTCCTCCTCCTCTTCCTCCCCCTCCTCCCTTTCCACTAATCTTCTTCCTCCTCCCTCCTCCCCCTCCCCTCTTCCTCCTCCATCTCTATTCTTCTCCTCTTCTTCCTCCTCCTCCCTCCCTCCTCTCCCTCCTCTTCCTCCTTCTCCCTTTCCACTATTCCTTCCTCTTCCTCCTCCTCCTCTTCCTCCTCCAT